TTTTGTGTGTGTGTGTGTGTGTGTGTGTGCACTCGAGTCGAGCGTGCCTTTTGTGTGTGTGTGTGTGTGTGTGTATGTCTGCAGTTAGCAGATTGGTGCGAGCTTGCGCTTCCGCTCTTTCCCGTTCCTTTCCAGGTCTGCTATTGTTGCGGGCGCAGTCTCAGGCAGAGGCAGAGGCAGAGGCAGATGAAAAGGCAAAGGCAGAGGAAAAGGCAAAGGCAGAGAGGCATATAGACAATATACGTGCCCCCGGAGTTGGATTAGGCGACAGCGATAACACTGCGGTGGCTGGACGTATGCGGGCTGTGTGCCGACCTTTGGGCACAGCCCTGCACTCTCCCCTCTGGCCTCTACTCTCTGCGCATGCCAAGCCTTCGACGGAGGTGCCAGTCTGTGTCTGTGTGTGTGTGTGACCTTCACGCGCATTTACAAACTGTTCAGAAGGCCGCCAGCCGTTGTGTCCCGGGGCAAGGTCCCACTTGCGCATATTAGGAGATTTCGGCCGTTGATCTTTGCTATCTACGGTCAGTATCTCTTAATTCGTGCAAGTGGGACCTTGCCCCGGATTTCCTCCTCTGGGGCTGCTGCTGTAGAGAAAGCTGCCGGGAGGAGGGGACGGGGGTAATCTCCCCGCCCATGCTGGCATGCTCTCCCTTTCCTTGCCTCCTCTACTACCATCCGTCGGCGCCCTCTGGCAATTGCTGGGGACTGGCACTCGTGGGCCACCCCTCCTCAGGTCCGTGGGTTCGCTCTCTTAGCGTTCCTGTTGTAGAGAAAGCTGCCGTGAGGAGGGACTCTCCCCGCCCATGCTCTCCCTTACCCTTGCCCACTACCATTCATCTGCGTTAGTCACATACCTGCCCTCTGGCAATTGCGGACACTGGCACTCGTGGGACACCCTCCTTAGGTCCCTGCGTTCGCTCTCTAATCGTTATCGTCCCGCCGGACCGGTGCCGTTTGGAACTAACACCGATGGTGTGTGTGGAGTGCTACATGGACAGCAGATGAGAACGTCGGGGAGGAGAGGAGGAGGACGAGGAAGACGAGGAGGAGGAGGAGGAGGGAGGGAGGGAGCGAGGGGGGGGGGGRGGGGGGGGGGKGAATCTGCAATAATCCAATTGCGTTGATGGCGCTCACGGACAAGAAGCGGTTAGACATTAGATTGGCAATGGCAGCAATACGTGAGAGTAGAGAGAGCCTAAGAAGAGCAGGAGTAGGAGTAGGAGTAGGAGTACTAGGAGTAGGAGTAGGAGTAGGAGTAGGAGTAGGAGTAGGAGGGGGAATAAGGGAGAAGGAGCGGCGTATGGTAGAGGAACAGGATTGGTGGTATGGTGGAGGAGGGGGGGGTCAGAGCGACTGGTCGGAGGAGTCGTCGGAACTCTTTGACCTCCCTCTCTTGCCCCCCCTTTATGCCCGAAGCACAGCAGAAGAAAGCAGATCTCTTTCTAGTCCTTCTCGTCCTCCTCCTCCTCGGACCCCTCCTCCTCCTCCTCCTCCTCCCCCTCCTCCTCCTCCCCCTCCTCCTCCTTTCGCTCATCCTCCTTCTCCTCTGCAGCTGAATGGCAATCCTCGTCCGCCGGCGCTCGAAAGCCAGCAATTCTCGGAAGTCAGACAAGGCTTTGCCAGAGGCAGTGGTGGGCCCTCCAGATCTTCCTCCCCTTCCCGATCCACTGCTATCCGGACTAACGGTCCCGATAACCATCGTCTTAGGGACGGTCCCGGTCCCGACTGGACGAAGCCGCCGAGTCGCGACAGCAAGAAGAAGCAGACGCACACGCACACGCAGAAGCAGAAGCAGAAGCTAAAGCAGACACAGACGCAGAAGAAGCAGAAGGAGAAGGAGAAGGAGAAGAAGGAGAAGGAGAAGAAGGAGAAGAAGGAGAAGGAGAAGAAGGAGAAGAAGGAGAAGGAGAAGATCTGGGGCTTAGCCGCAGATTCCAGGAACGGTTCGGATGCAGCGGTGGTCGCGCTGGATGATGATGATGATGATGACGATGGTGATGAGGTTGATGAGGACGATGATGATGATGATGAGGATGATGGTACGTCTTCCAGCTGCGACTTGGTGGAGGATTCCTTAGACGAGGAAGAAGACTCTGAGGAGGAAAAGTCGGCCTTGCTGGGGAAGGTCCAGAGAAGAAGCACCGATGGTGGAAAAGGAGAAGAAGAAGTCGACAAGAAACAGAGATCGAATCACGTTTCTGGACTCGGCAACAACAATGTGAATTTCAAAGTACGTATACGTATGCCAGGGGACGAAGAGGGCAGCCAGGAAGGAGGAGGAGGGGTGGAGAGAAGGAAAAGGAAATGGCAGAGACAGAAGGAGCAAGGAGAGGCAAGGAGACAAGGAGGAGGACAGCAGGAGGCAACGACAGCGCAGCCGCGAGCGCTACCTTCTCTTCCTTCCAAATTGGAGGTCGGCGGAAACAAGGCCGCCCGGGGGCGGGAGAGTGCGCGAACTCCGCGGCCGCGGCTCGAGGAGGACGGTGATCCTCAGCCTCAGCCTCAGCCTCAGCCTCAGCCTAGTCAGGAAATGCCGTCGTGGTTAACTGGCGTGCCTTATCGTCAAAGCTCATACTACCACGGGCCTTTCGCGCCGTCAGATCAATCACAGGCGGATGGTCCATCAACGACAGGAGGTAGTAATCAAGCAAGCAGGGATACAGGTCATAATAGTCCGCTTGGCGCCAAGGACGTCAACGGGAAATGGCCGAGAGAAAAAGGTACTAGAATAGTAGCGTCCAGAGCTGCACGGGTAACAACCAATCAAGGCGGAGAAGCCGATGGAGGAGGAGGAGAAGGAGGAGGAGGAGGAGGAGGAGGAGAAGGAGAGAAACAGACGTGTTTGAACAGTTCTGCTGTGCCCAACACCTGGGTTGATACTGTGTCATCTCCTGTAAGACACTCGGCACGGCGAAGCTTGGCGGTTGCTCCTGCTGATCTGCTTACGACGAAGTGCTCAGTGATGTGTGTGGATGGCAAGATCGACGAAGAGGAGGCAATTCAAGCGGAGGAAGGGGTGGGGGAGGAGGAGGAGGAGGAGGAGGAGGAGGAGGAGGAGGAGGAAACGAGGCGAGGAATGGGTGAAGGAATTTCTGAGGGCGACGAAGCGTCGACCACTTCCTTGAGCTTTCCAGACAAGGAGCAGAGGGATGACGATGACTATTGCTCCTCGTCTTGCCGTGATGACAGCCTGGCGATGGCGCCGGCGGTTAGCAGGCGCGGTTTGCATCGCCATCGACATAGCGCTATATGGTCGCACTCTGGCTCGTCTTCTTTCAACGGATCCTCTTTTACTGCTTCGCCCGGCCATAGCCATGGTGGGGAAAGCTCAAGCTTCTCCTTCCCTTATCCTCCCTCCCCATTGCGAGGGAATGCACCCGGCACGCCATCTCTGGAACTATTTACGAGGACGTCAACAACGAACCACAGCCTAGCCGCAAGCACTACAACGACTACAGAAGATCGTGTCGTCGAAACGACATCGACGACTCTCACTCTCAGAACGGCGGAGGAGGAAGGCAAAGAAGAACTTCAAGCCTCGTTCGAACAGGAAGGTCATATAAATGTCGACGTAACCGGCGGCAGGGTAGAAGAGAGGAGCGTGAAGGCCGAGAGACGAGGAGGGGGCGCCACTGCCATGCAGAGGCTGGAAAGAGAGCAGCTTTCGTCGTCAAGAGCGTCTGACGCGGCACCCCCGTTTGTCAGAAAGCCGGTGAGCAAAGCGGAAGAAGAAGAAGAAGGAGAAGAAGAAGAAGAAGAAGAAGAAGAAGAAGAAGAAGAAGAAGAAGAAGAAGAAGAAGAGGACGATGTAATTGTGGCTGATATTGCAGTCGGCAGAGAAGAAGGAGAAGAAGAAGAGGCTGCCGATATGCCCCTTACTGATGCGACAAGGAATCACGCTCGCAATGCGGTTGGCAATGGCAGAGAACCCGACACGCGGTCGAGTAAGGAGCATTCCTCGGCGGCACAAAGCGGCGGCGAGATCGATGCATGCGCTTCGGTCTTTGGCTGCGCAAGCCAAGATCATGAAGATTACAATTCCAGGGACGTCGGCTGCAAAGGTAGTAGTACTTTAGACGAGCGAAGATGGGAGCTTGAGCAGGCCTTCAGCCCGCCGTTCGACGTCGGTAGGGAGGGGAGGAATAGCCTGAGCAACAAAGGAGGAGGTGAGGGCTCGGAGGGAGGAGGAAGCAGTTGCCGGGCCGTACCAAGTCAAGCGCAACCGATGCCGCCCCCCCAACCACAGCAGGAGCAGCAGCGGCAGCAGCAGAGATTGGTGGCGATGATGATGATAAGGCATGCCAGCGGAGGTGGTGGGGGAGGCGGAGGAGGGGGGGAAGGAGTAGGAGGAGCGGTTTGGGGGGGGAGGAATGGTGCCCCTCTGCTGCTGCAAACGAGTGGGACGACCGGTGGAGCTTCCGCCCGGTCGTCCACTCATTCGAGTCGAAGCTCCACTCCTTCGCGGGCGGCGTCCAGTCCCTCTCGCATGGCTGGCGATGCTGGGAGGTTGCTCAAATCGTCAGCAACGGGAGCAGGAGGAAGAGGAGGAGGAGGAGGAGGAGAAGGAGAAGGAGAAGGAGGAGGAGGAGGAGGAGATTTGGAGTCGGATTCCGATAAATCTAGCTATATCAGCATCAGTCCTCGACGCTATTTTGCCTTTCCAGGCCATCGGGACCCCTTCTCGTCGGGGTTTTCGAGCGGATCCTCGTCCCCGGGCTGCGACCGTGCGACCGGGCGATCCCGCGCTGCGGGTGCAGTCGCAGCGGCAGCAGGTGTTCTGCTGCCGCCGCATGTACCATTTTTTTCCCGTGCTGCCACGTGGCGCACCCCCAGTCTTAATGTGCACAGAGAGCAATGGTTGGATGCCGCAGCCCCCACAGCGCCATCATCGCCTGCAATGCCTAAAGTTGCTTCTCCTCCTCCTCCTCCTCCTCCTCCACATGGCGATGGCGGCCTAGAGAGGAAGAGGATACCTGAAGCTGAGCATCGCACTCTCAACGGATCTTTAACTTACCCGTCCAAATGCATGGAAGGAGGAGGAGGAGGAGAAGGAGGAGGAGAAGGAGGAGGAGGAGGAGGAGGAGAGAAGGGAGTCTCGCAGATTGACGTCATCCATCAAAATGCGCCTATTGCGTCGACGTCCCCCTTCGTCTCCAGGAATGGGCATCCTCTTACCCTTGATCTGACTGGAAGACACGTGGCGGCCACAGGAGGAGCGATCGAGGAGGAGGAAGAAGATGCAATTGGCACGAGCTCCAAGGAGGGGGTGAAGGAGGAGTTGATTGTGAATGCGAAGGGAGAAGCAGCACAGAATGCGCACTCCTTGGTCCTCTCTTCCCACTCCGCCGCCTTATCACGACGCATGCCAAGTTTGTCGGTTGTGAGTCAGATCGGCCCCCGGGCCGCTCTTTCTACCACCGGGCAGAAGCGAGCCTCGGTTCTCTCTCAGACTGACGGTCGCCGCCTTCTGATGAAATACGAACGAGAAGGAGATCATCATCATAATCATCATCATCATCATCATCCAGCCCTCTCGACCAATATCACGGATATCGGCGGGGCTATCACTTTGGACGCACATTCGATAATTGCCACGTGGGAGCAAGGGAAGATGGTATCCTATACTTCTACGCGGACAGAGGAGGGGAGGGGGAGCCACGGGGCGACGACGACGGTACGTCAGAGGAGGGAGATGCTGCTAACGAACGAGTTGTCCCAGAAGATCGTGCAAGTACCGGCATTGCTTGGCGGCAGCAGAGTTTTGAGTTGTGCTGCAGGTACCGGCCCTGACACATCAACGGCAGGCGATCACGCGCAGCTGTCGGGGACGACCTGCAATCTGCTACTCGACGGGAAGTGGACATCGCCAGATCGACGGTCAGGATCCGCAGATCTGGCCAGCGACTCCAGCATTTCCGTCTCGTCATCCTCCGCCACCGGCGCCACCGGCGCCGGGGATAGCTACAGTGATTGCGGGTTCGATCCCCCGCCGACCCTGCCGGAGTCCCCCGTCTTCTATTGCGTGAACGGCGTCGATCTCCATCTCCGATCGGCGGCCGATGGCGAAGATATGATGATGGTCGGTGATGTGCGCGATGCCAATCTACTGCTTCTGCACAGGACGGCACATAAGTTCAGCAAGATTGTCTCCGGGCTCGAAGGACTGCTAGAGTATGATGACGACAACAACAACGAGGACAACGATGGCTGCAGGTCAGACTGCGGCGAGGAACAAGGAGGAGGAGAAGAAGCGGACGAGTGTGAGGACCAGGCTGCCAGAGAGATGGACGAAGATGAATCTATGGTCAGCATCTCTGGTGTGAGAGTGTGGCTAGATGCAGAGCATCTCGCGAGAATGCCTGACAATCCTCCTGGTCATGGCGACGCCATAGCCGCCGCGACCGTCCTCTCCTTTCCTTCTGCTTCTGCGGCGGCGGCGGCGGCGGGCGACTCCCGCCGGCCCCCCCTGATCCTGGGCGCACCTTGCGCCGCCAGACTGGACGAGGAGGTCACGGGTCATCGCGGACCTACTATGGTTACCAGTCTGCAGCAGCAGCAGCAGCAGGAGGAGGAGGAGGAATGGCATCATGAGACAAAGCGGCAGGAGGGGGATAAAAGAACGAAGAAGAAAGCATCATCAAGATTGGCGGCGTCGGCGTCATCGTCGTCCTCGGCTTATCAGACTCACTCTCGATCTTTCAGTTCCGTATTATCCGCCGCTTTGGGCTGGGTGTCAGGTGCCCTCAGCCGAGCTCATAAGGGGCGACGTCATGTACGTGACGACGAGGGGGCGAACAATCCCCTCTCCGACATCCGACCAACGGCGGAGAAGGAGACGGCGGCAAATGCTGTACGGCGGGAGGATGGGGAGAGGGTGGGCGCGAGCCCAGCGCCAGCGCGATGGGCGCCCTCAAGGCCGGGCGAGCAAGGAGGAAGGCAGTCATGGGAACGACAGCCGGCGGCAATGACAGAAAAGCATCCGTCTCCAGTGCGTCAATACGCGGGAGTTCCGCAGCCGCTTCCGCCAGTACCGCTCCAGAGCGCGCTCTCGTCAACGTCTTCACCCACTCTGCACAGGGCGGGGAGCCCGCCTCCGCGCTTGCCATCCGCCGCGCGCTCTCCCAACCCTCCTCCATCTCCGCTTCCCCCGCGCGAACGATCGAACAGCGCGGCTCCCGCGGCGTCGCGGGAAGGTGCAGGGGCAGAGGAGGACGATGTCGCTTCGAGGGGAGTCTGCCATGGTACCGGCGGATTCTCTCCCCGCTCGAACGCGGCAGGACGCGGCACCTGGCGCGCCACTGAGCTCCTACCTGCGGAGGGGGCGGGCGGTGGGCCGCCTCCTGGCGGGCCCCCGCCGCCGGTTGGCGATGCCCCGCCTGCCAACGGTAGTACCCTGCTGGTTTTCGAAGGAGACGGACGCGGAGGCGGAGGCCCCAGGCCGGGGGCGTGGACCGCGCACAACAATCACGACCAAACGGGCTCGGCTGCGCTGCAATGGCCGTCCCCGCGGATGACCTCCTCCTTCTCTGACTCGGACCCCGCGACCGCCACCCTCCCAGTGCATCGTCCCAATTCCAATTCCACCAGTAGTCCAGGGCAAGGACGGCAGTCCGCGGGGTCCCCGCGAGGCTCCATACCAGTCCCCGGCGTCGACGCGGAAGACCAGCCAGTCCGGCAGCTGGGGACTCTGCCCGGGCCGGCCACGACATCTCCCGCTGGTGCTGCTACCTTTACTACCACGACGCCTACCGTCACGACAAGAGCCACCGAGGAAAATAGCCGTAGCCAGGCTAACAACAACAACAATAGCCCTATCATCACACCTACACCTACAGGGGCCCCTACCAGTTGCGGAGCTTCCGGTAGCGCCGTTGCAATTCCGGCGGAAAGCGGAGGCCTGCCTGACGACGCACCGACGACTGAGGACGAACCTACCGTACCGTCTGATGACCTTCAAACCGGGGGGTGTTGTATGCGGATGGAGGAACCGAACTCGAGCGCTGCTACCGACGGTGGTGGGGGGAGCAGTAGCAGCGGAAGCGGACCCGCGGGCGGCGCTTCTTCTGGCCGGATCGATACCGACGTGGCAACGGGAACCCGCGCAGCAGCTGGGGAGGAGGAGGAGGGTAGTATTGGCGGGAGCGGCGGTAATACGTTGGGACAGATGCCCGTGGGAACATTCCATGTCGAGCATGAGCGCGCACCTGTGGTATCGCCCGAACAAGGTTCGTCTTGCTCGGCGGGAGGAAGAGGGAGAAGGAGCGGACCGAGTGCGTGGGGGGAACGTTGGTGGGGGGGCGGGCAGAGTACCATAGAGTCGTGCAAAGGGGGGGTGGGGGGATGTCTCAACATGGCGGGCCCCACAGGCGCGCCGGCGCCTTCGTTGGCGGAAATGCAGGATCGGAGCATGAGCCGAGACGCTCTCCAACCCGACAGCGACGGTTGGACTGGGGGTTGTTGTTGGGATCGCGGCGGAGGAAGAGGGTACGAGCCAATCTCGATGACTCGCTTGTGCCCTCCGAGGAACTGCGGGACGCTAGCGGCCATGGCTTGGTGGAGCGCGGCCACGGGGTCCCGACCCCTCACCCTCTTCTTCCCCGGCATCAGGATACGCGATGCGGTCATGACTGCTGCCAGCCTCCGCCTCCTCTCCTTCTGGCTGGCCGTCGTAGGCACGGCTATGTTGGTTCTCGGCCTTCCCATTGGCTTTCTGCCATCGCTAATCAAGAACAAGCTCTTCGAGCTGAGCCTGGGAGCCTTCGTCCTGCTTGGAGTACCTGTGAGGGGTGCAAGCGTTGTTTTCTCTCTTTACTATAGGGATCTCGTCATGGTCCTCATCGACATGGTTATGATGATGCTGGACATCAGCCTGGGAGTCATGCTAATCGTACTCGGAGATCTGGGCCGGAAAGTGCTCACCATAGCGCTAGCGTCATGGTTCATCGCGAAAGGCATCTTCGAGATATGTGCAGGTCAGTCATCAATCCATCCTCTCTCTCTCTCTCTTCCCATGGATCCTCCATCCCTACCCTTCACTAGTACACATTAATTAATTAATCATCGTCCTTCCCCTTCAATAGTATGCATTAATTAGTCTTCGTACGTCGGCCCTTTGTTTTCCCCTTTTCCTCCCTCCTCCCTCCTCCCTCCTCCCTCCTCCCTCCTTCTCTCCCGCCCTCCTCCCCTCTCTTCTGCCCTTTCTCCCTGTTTCCTTCCTCCTCCTCTGCCTACCGCTCTTTCTCTCTTTCTGCATCCCGCTCTTCCTCTCTCTCTGTTTTCCGCTTTTTCTCTCTCTGCCTCCCGCTCTCTCTCTCTCTCTCTCTCTCTCTCTCTCTCTCTCTCTCTCTCTCTCTCTCTCTCTCTCTCTCTCTCTCGTTCTTTCTCTTGTGTTCGTTTCTTCTCTTACCCCTTCTCTCACCCAAAGGGCATCTTCTTTATCTTCGGGGCAGTTAGGGTGAGGTTGGTATCAGTAGTGAACTTTGGTCTCTCTCATTCCCTGTCTGTTATTGACGGCAGATTTGAGCTCTGGTCTTCCCAATGCAGTCGCAGTCATAATCGCTCCATTTCCTTTTCTTGGCAATTCCCTTGCTGAGGGCGATCACCAGTTTCTGTTTCAACAAGTCCATGCATAGATCACCCCTTTCTTCATCTCGCAGCTCAGAAGGACGCGGCATTCCCGCAACCTCCCTTCTCTCTCTCTCTCTCTCTCTCTCTCTCTCTCTCTCTCTCTCTCTCTCTCTCTCTCTCTCTCTCTCTCTCTCTCTCTCTCTCTCCAACCTATCCTTCTTTACTCCCGCATGTACGTGTCTTGCTGCCTTACCTCTCGCGAGCAGAGGTTAGCTCCTCTGTCAGCAGGCAGTCACATTCAAACGTGTCTCCCTTGTCCTTTTCCTGTTGCATTCTCTGCGATTCTCCTTGACTTTCTCCTCGGCCTCCCCTCTTGTTTTTGCCACTGCTTCTCTTCATCTCCTTTTCACCATCTCTCTCTCTCTCTCTCTCTCTCTCTCTCTCTCTCTCTCTCTCTCTCTCTCTCTCTCTCTCTCTCTCTCTCTCTCTCTCTCT